AACATCTTATGTAAGATCTGGGCACATCCTTACCCCTACCCTCTTTCCCCTCTTGCCAAAACACAGCTAGTAAGAGGCAGAAGCAGGATTCAATACCCAGTGCTCATGGCTCTTTCTGCTGAACCACAGCACCTCCAGGGCTCACACCCCCTGTGACTGGGTGATGGGCAGCCTGGATGGAAGACAATGAGGGGAGAAAGAGGTTTGGGAGGGAAATTAAGGATTTGATGCTCAGGTGGGGTGTTGAGGTGACCAGTTAGACATCCAGGTGGACCTGTTGAGTAGCAGTTGGATGTGTGAGTTTAGTGTTTCAGGCTGAGGTGGAGGTGGAGATAGAAGTTTCCAGGCTGCACTTGGGAACAGCACACAGAGCACAGTGATCCCTGAGGCCATGGTTTCCCATTGTCTCCCCTCAGCTCCCACCTGATGCAGAGGTGGAGCCCAGGGAAAACTCCAACCACGGAGCCATTCCCTCACTCACCCCCAGAGCTCTGTCCCCACGAGCCCAGGCAGGAAGCCCCCTCCCTTACCCACTCCTATCAGGACCAAATGGCCCCACCATGGAAGTTCACACTGGATATGTAATGGTAGGGACAGAAGTCTAGGGGCTGGTCGGGAAAACATAAGGTCACATAATTATAACGTCATGGGCGGGAGATGAAGGAGGACGTGAATTCAGGAGAAACTTCCAGGGTGACCATTGGTGTTGGATATTGGCATGGAACAGGGGCAAAGGTAAGCTGACCCCTGGTCTCAGAATGGGCCATCTCAGGTGAGGGAGGCTGAAGGTTTGTCATTCCCTGAGCTCAGAAACAGAGAGAAAGAAAACTGAAAAATTATGGAACATGAAACTGTGGTGTGCTGGGCGGGGACACTGAGGAGCAGGTGGGGGTGTGCAAAGGGAAGGAGGAAAGGGGACCAGGAAGGGTCGGGGCAGAGAAGACCCCGTGCAGCCACTGCCAGTTGAGTGTCCCTGGGCAAGTCCCTCTACCTGTCTGATCCTTGGTTTCCCCAGCTGAGCAAGGGGTGCTGCTTCCTTCCCCTGGGCTTGGGCAGGTGGTAGTTATGGGGGGAAATGTGCCAGCAGAGCCTGCTGTGTGACTGTGTCAGGCCCAACCTTGCCCCTGTCCCTGCAGGAAACAGGCAGCCGCTCTAGGACAAGTTGCAATCTCAGGTCCTTCATGAGGCTGTCCCCTGGGTCTCAGGTCAGCAGCTCAAACAGGATCAAACTCCCATGTCTGACGTTGCCTGGTGCCCAGCCTCAGGAAGGGGTTGATACACCGCTGTGGTGTCAACACCCTCCACATGCACAGTACACCTGCATGTGCATGTCTGCATCCAAGTGTGTGTGTAGGCAACATGCACACGTTATGTATGCACAGAACAAGGCATTCCAGGCTTCAACTTCCACACAGGACAACCTCTAGAACAGGGGTGGACAAACTTTTTGACTCGAGGGCCACAATGGGTTCTTAAACTGGACCGGAGGGCCGGAACAAAAGCATGGATGGAGTGTTTATGTGAACTAATATAAATTCAAAGTAAACATTATTACATAAAAGGGTATGGTCTTGCCAAAACCGGTTTGGCTCAGTGGATAGAGCGTCGGCGTGCGGACTGAAGGGTCCCAGGTTCGATTCCGGTCAAGGGCATGTGCCTGGGTTGCGGGCACATCCCCAGTGGGGGTTGTGCAGGAGGCAGCTGATCGATGTTTCTCTCCCATCGATGTTTCTAACTATCTATCTCTCTCCCTTCCTCTCTGTAAAAAATCAATAAAATATATTTTTAAAAAAAAAGGGTATGGTCTTTTTTTTTTTTTTAGTTTTATTCATTTCGAACGGGCCGGATCTGGCCCACGGCTGCTCTAGAAGCTACAGCAGGCTGAGGAGTTCAAGGGACCAAGAGTTCCCCCTTCCCCCCGCCACGCCACACACACAGACACACACAGACACACACAGACACACACACACGCCACACACACAGACACAGACAGACAGACAGACAGACACACACACACACACACACTCACCAGGTGATGAACAAACTAAGTAATCATGGACTCCACAGGCCCAGCTATAGATCCCAGCCAGAGCCTCTGCAGCTCCCTGAAATCTGTCTCACCTTCCTGGCTGTTTCGTTGCAGATTCGTGCAGAGCCCAAGCCTGGAGACCTGATTGAGATTTCCCGAATCGACTCCTCACACTGGGGCCTCTATGTGGGCGATGGTTATGTGGTCCACCTGGCTCCCCCAGGTAAGGGGGTTGAAAGTGTAACTCTCCAAAGATTTGTTAACATGATGAGAACAATTCAACGCCAAATGCCACCCCGGGAACCCTGCATTGGTTTCTCCCTGAGCTGTGCTTGAGTTCATCCTACATCCGGTCCCTTAGAAGCAGCTTAATGGTCCCACAAGTCCGGACACAGTAGGGAAAGAGGTCCGAGGGGCCAGGTGAAGCCGGACTGGGGCCGCATTCGGGGCTCTCCAGCTCCGGCCCTTTAACTGGGTGCGCAGACAGATTTCACTAAACCAGCCACATGTCTAGGTGTCCACAGTCTCATAAAGGAGAAGGATCAATGACGGTGGATGGTCAACTAGACGATGTCCATTCATATCATGGAGCACAATAGCAGCCACTGACCATCAGAATTTTCATTAGCTTGAAAAAGTATTCACAGCTCATTAAGTATAAAGAGTAAAATCCGTGAATCCTCTAATCACATTGGTGAAGGGACAGACACCAAGGCTCAATAGTGTAATCCCTGGCCCTTCTAGCCTGTCTTGTGTCTTCTCTCTCCCTCCCTGGCCTCCCCTGCAGTTCCTGATACTCCTGTGTCTGATTCCAGGGGAGAGCTCTGAGGCTGGCGCCCCCACCAGCTTAGGGGTGGTGAAAAGGGAGCTCCTTGAGAAAGTGGTGGGAAACTGCTCCTATAAGGTCAACAACCACTTGGACCACCTGTACAAACCACGGCCCATAAAGGAGATGCTCAGATCTGGGAAGGAGATGGTTGGTAAGAAGATGGAGCACAGTGTTCTGAGCAGGAACTGTGAGCGCTTGGTCACGGATCTGAGATACGGCAAGGCCCACAGCCAGCAGGTAAGGCCCTCTCTGGCGGAATCCCTCTCCTTCCTGAAGGTCTGCTTGGGGTGGAGGTGTCAGGGCTGTGCACTGAGAAGAAAAACTTACCCCGAATGATGCAAAATTATGCTCCCTGCTTCCTGCTGGCTGGGAGTCAGGATGTCTGAGATCAAATCTCGGGACTGTTCCTGATCCACTCAGGGTCTTTAAACAGGTCACTTCCTCTCAGCCTCATTTTCCCCATGTGCAGAAGGAGGGGATTGTTTGGAGGACCTCTGTTTGGGGACCTCAATCGATTTAGGATCCTTTACCTCTAAGACCCACCCTAAAGGCAGCTCCTGAAGCCCTGTGTGCTGTCAGGAAAATCTGGGCCAAACCGGGATCATGACAGGTCTCCTAAGGCCCCGGAGAGCCCTCGGGCAAGAGATGCTCAAGGTCTGTGGCCCATGTAAGAGCTCGAGGACATGTTATGTAAGGTCTGGGCACATCCTTACCGCTCCCTCTTTCCCCTCTTGCCAAAACACAGCTAGTAAGAGGCAGAAGCAGGATTCAATGCCCAGTGATCCCTGTTCTTTCTGCTGAACCACAGCACCTCCAGGGCTCAAAGCTCCTGTGATTGGGTGATGGGCAGCCTGGATGGAAGAGAATGAGGGGAGGAAGAGGTTTGGGAGGGAAATTAAGGATTTGATGCTCAGGTGGGGTGTTGAGGTGACCAGTTAGACATCCAGGTGGACCTGTTGAGTAGCAGTTGGATGTGTGAGTTTAGTGTTTCAGGCTGAGGTGGAGGTGGAGATAGAAGTTTCCAGGCTGCACTTGGGAACAGTACACACAACACAGTGATCCCTGAAGCCTTGGTTTCCCATTGTCTCCCTTCAGCTCTCACCTGATGCAGAGGTGGAGCCCAGGGAAAACTCCGACCACGGAGCCATTCCCTCATTCACCCCCAGAGCTCTGTCCCCACGAGCCCAGGCAGGAAGCCCCCTCCCCTATCTACCCCCATCAGGACCAAATGGCCCCACCATGGAAGTTCACACTGGATATGTAATGGTAGGGACAGAAGTCTAAGGGTTGGTCGGGGAAACGTGGGGTCACATAATTATAACTGGGGCGCCCTTAACCAAGTCATGGGTGGGAGATTAAGGAGGACGTGAATTCAGGAGAAACTTCCAGGGTGACCATTGGTGTTGGATATTGGCATGGAACAGGGGCAAAGGTAAGCTGACCCCTGGTCTCAGAATGGGCCATCTCAGGTGAGGGAGGCTGAAGGTTTGTCATTCCCTGAAATCAGAAACAGAGAGGAAGAAAACTGAAAAATTATGGAACATGAAACTGTGGTGTGCTGGGCGGGGACACTGAGGAGCAGGTGGGGGTGTGCAAAGGGAAGGAGGAAAGGGGACCAGGAAGGGTCGGGGCAGAGAAGACCCCATGCAGCCACTGCCAGCTGAGTGTCCGTGGGCAAGTCCCTCTGCCTCTCTGATCCTCAGTTTCCCCAGCTGAGCAAGGGGTGCTGCTTCCTACTCCTGGGCTTGGGCGGGTGGCTGTTATGGGGGGAAATGTGCCAGCAGAGCCTGCTGCCTGAGTGTGTCAGGCCCAACCTTGCCCCTGTCCCTGCAGGAAACAGGCAGCCGCTCTAGGACAAGTTGCAATCTCAGGTCCTTCATGAGGCTGTCCCCTGGGTCTCAGGTCAGCAGCTCAAACAGGATCAAATTCCCATGTCTGACGTTGCCTGGACACCCAGCCTCAGGAAGGGGTTGATGCACCGCTGTGGTGTCAACACCCTCCACATGCACAGTACACCTGCATGTGCATGTCTGCATCCAAGTGTGTGTGTAGGCAACACGCACACATTATGTATGCACAGAACAAGGCATTCCAGGCTTCAACTTCCACACAGGGCAACCTCTAGAAGCTACAGCAGGCTGAGGATTTCAAGGGACCAAGAGTTCCCCCCTACCCCGCCACGCCACACACACACATGCACACATACACGCACACACATACACACACACACACTCACCAGGTGATGAACATACTAAGTAATCATGGACTCCACTGGCCTAGCTACAGCTCCCAGCCCCGGCCTCTGCAGCTCCCTGAAATCTGTCTCACCTTCCTGGCTGTTTCGTTGCAGTTTCGTGCAGAGCCCAAGCCTGGAGACCTGATTGAGATTTCCCGCATCGGCTCCTCGCACTGGGGCCTCTATGTGGGCGATGGTTATGTGGTCCACCTGGCTCCCCCAGGTAAGGGGGGTGAAAGTGTAACTCTCCAAAGATTTGTTAACATGATGAGAACAATTCAACGCCAAATGCCACCCCGGGAACCCTGCATTGGTTTCTCCCTGAGCTGTGCTTGAGTTCATCCTACATCCGGTCCCTTAGAAGCAGCTTAATGGTCCCACAAGTCCGGACACAGTAGGGAAAGAGGTCCGAGGGGCCAGGTGAAGCCGGACTGGGGCTGCATTCGGGGCTCTCCAGCTCCGGCTCTTTAACTGGGTGCGCAGACAGATTTCACTAAACCAGCCACATGTCTAGGTGTCCACAGTCTCATAAAGGAGAAGGATCAATGATGGTGGATGGTCAACTAGACGATGTCCATTCATATCATGGAGCACAATAGCAGCCACTGACCATCAGAATTTTCATTAGCTTGAAAAAGTATTCACAGCTCATTAAGTAAAAAGAGTAAAATCCGTGAATCCTCTAATCACATTGGTGAAGGGACAGACACCAAGGCTCAATAGTGTAATCCCTGGCCCTTCTTCCCTGTCTTGTGTCTTCTCTCTCCCTCCCTGGCCTCCCCTGCAGTTCCTGATACTCCTGTGTCTGATTCCAGGGAAGAACTCTGAGGCTGGCGCCCCCACCAGCTTAGGGGTGGTGAAAAGGGAGCTCCTTGAGAAAGTGGTGGGAAACTGCTCCTATAAGGTCAACAACCACTTGGACCATCTGTACAAACCACGGCCCATAGAGGAGATGGTCAGATCTGGGAAGGAGATGGTTGGTAAGAAGATGGAGCACAGCGATCTGAGCAGGAGCTGTGAGCGCTTGGTCATGGATCTGAGATACGGCAAGGCCCACAGCCGGCAGGTAAGGCCCTCTCTGGGGGGCTCCCTCTACCTTCTGGAGGTCTGCTTGCAGTGGGGGTGTCAGGGTTGACTACCCAGAATAAAAAAATTACTCTTAATGATGAAAACTTGGGCTCTTGGGGTCCTCTGGCTGGGAGTCAGGATGTCTGAGAGCAAAACTCAGGTCTGTTCCTGATCCACCCAGGCTCTCTTGACAGGTCACTTCCTCTCTGGCCTCAGTTTCCCCATGTGCAGAAGGAGGGGATGTTTGGAGGACCTCTGGGGCTCTGGCCAGTTCTGTCCCTTTGGGATCTTTCGCCTCTAACACCCACCCTAAAAGCACCTCCTCATGCCCCTGTGTGCTGTCAGGGAAAGTCTGGGCCAACCCTGAACCATGACAGGTCTAAGGCTTCGGACAGCACTCTAAGGAGAGATGCTCAAGGTCTGTGGCCTATGTAAGAGCTCAAAAGAGTTCTTCTGAGAAGATACTGTGCAACTACTTCCAGTTGAGTGTTCTTGGGCAAGTCTCCCTACCTCTCTGACCTGCATTCCCTATGTGAGGAACTGGGTGCTCCCTCCTCCTCTATGTGACCCAATAATATAAGATCTGGGCACAGCTTTAACCCCTTCCTCATTGCCCTTTTACCAACACAAGCGAGTAGGGATTCAAACCCCAGTGGTCCCTGCTCTTCCTGCTGAACCACAGTGTCTCCATGGCTGGAAACCCAGGGCTTAGGTGATGAGGATCCCTGGATGGAGGCAAATCAAAAAAGGAAGAGCAGGTTGCAGATAGAAATTAAGGATTTCTTGCTCAGGTGGGGTGCTTGAGGTGACCAGTTAGACATCCAGTTGGACCTGTTGAGTAGGAGTTGGACTTGTGAGCCCGGAGGTAGAAGTTTCCGGGCTGCACTTGGGAACAGTACACAGAGCACAGTGATCCCTGAGGCCATGGTTTCCCATCCTCTCCCCTCAGCTCTGCCACCACCTCCCTCTGCAGAGCTTGAGCCCAGGTAGTGCTCAGACCACAGAGCCATTCCACTTCCACCCCCAGAGCTCTGGCCCCAGGAGCCCAGGCAGGAAGCCCCCTCCCCTATCCACTCCCATTAGGACCAAGTGGCCCCACCATGGAGGCTCACACAGGCCCTGGAGTGGGTGGGGCAGAAGTCTGGGGGTTGGTCAGGAAAACATGGGGTCACATAATCGGGAATAGAATGGCCCTGAATAAAGTCATGGGGGAAAGATGAACAAAGAAGTGAATTCCAGAAAAGCTTCCAGGCTAAATGACCACTGTTGGATGTTGGCATGGAATGAGGGCAAAGGGAAGCTGGCCCCTGGTCTCAGATTGGGTGGCCTGGGGTGAGCACTGGGGGAGGTTTGCTGAGGTCAGACACAAACAGGAAGATAAACTGAAAAATTCTCAAATCAGGAAGCTGTGGTGCCCTGGGCAGGGACACTGAGGAGCAGGGAGGAGGTGATAAGGAAGGGAGGGAGGGAGGAAAGGGGACCAGGAAGGGTCGGGCAGAGAAGACCCAGTGCAGCCACTGCCAGCTGAGTGTCCCTGGGCAGCTCCCTCTACCTCTCTGATCCTCAGTTTCCCCAGCTGAGCACATGGGTGCTGCTTCCTTCCCCTGGGCTTGGGAGGGTGGCAGTTATGGGGGAAATGTGCCAGCAGAGCCTGCTGGGGGACTGTGAGCCCTGTACCCAGGGCAGGAAGCAGGGAAACAACAGGAGGGCCTTCTCCAATGCTCAGGTGCCCTTAGGGTGCTGTCACCTGCTGTCTGTCAGCTCAGCATCTTCTCGGGTCGTGTACCGGGGCTGGGAGGGCAGAGTGTGAGGTGGTGGGTGTAGGGCCCATGCACAGCCAGGGCAAACACAGGATGGAGACATGAGGGTCAGAGTGTGAGAGCAGAGAAGCTCAGACTCACCTGGACAATTTTTGGGGTTGGGGCTTGTACTTAGTCTCATTTAACAGAATTTACATACAGACTGTTGTGTTATAACCCTCGAGACACATGCACAATACATGTCTGCACCGTAATGTGTGTGCATGTACACACAACACACAAAATATCCATACACAGGACATTTTCTTCATAGATAAGGTGAACTAAAATACAGAAAAACTTCCTGAATAATCAGTGGAAAATTTGCAGGAGAGAACTCTGATATCCCAGGATTTTAAGTGGCAACTGCATAGAGACTGGTTGGAGGGGCGGAGGAGCCTCATGCCCACAGACAGCAACTGAAGTCCTGGAGAGATATCTCAGCTGTGGGGGGTGCCACTGAGAACTCTGAGATCTAATCCCCAAGCTGGGCCCTCCAGCAGAGACACCAGAACTGAGAAGGGTACCCTCATAACATCTGGCTGTGAAAAGCAGTGGGGTGCTATCTGCCAGGAAGTGTCAGCTGTAAATTCAGGCACCCTCTTAAAGGGCCAATATACAAAATTCCCCGTGGGGCCACCCACCTTGTGCTCTGGCAGAGGGAGGGTGAAGTGGATGGGAGCTGTGAGAGCAGAAGCCAGGACTGAACACTTGGGGGTTAGAGCTCCGAAGGCAGACACCCCAAGTTTCCTGGGCTGAGTCATTCCCTCACGCAGAGGAGGACATGGCTCCCACATTGACATTTGCCTTGCCTGGGAAAAGACAGGTGACACACCCTATTTGAAAATACCTTGCCCTGAAGCCACTTAAGAGCTTAAAAATAACAATTAGCCTCCGGGCAGAAGCAAGTGCCCCACCCTGTTGAAAAAAAAACAGTTGCCACACCTGAGGATGATTGCCTGGGGGGCAATTCAAGCTGAATCCTATCAGGCTGTAGGAAGAGGTGGTCTCTGGAGGCTTTGAGTATTTGCCTGATCTAATTAGTCAGAAACAGCCTTTAGCACTGTCCTGCACTAGAGATTGAGAGGTGTAGAGCAAGCATGTCAAACTTGGGGCCCACAACGAATATTTTTGTGGCCCACCCAATATATCGGTATGTAAGAAATGTTTGAATAAAAATTTCATAACTTAATTTTTAAAATATCCTGTTATACATAATTAGTAATAATGAACTACAACTTTCACTAATGACTGATTATTATAATCATGTTGTATCCATTTCCCTATATGCCTTACATGCAGGCACACCATTTCTCTCCACTAATACTAGCAGCAAATATTTTAGCAGCCGATTGCCAGGTCATTAGTCTTATACTGACTTGTTTGGTGTGTACACAGGAAATAATTAGCTTTCGGAGAACAGAAACATAGGTTTA